CAAGTAAAAAGAAGAAAGAACCTGGCAACTCATAGTTCAGTTCGTACGTTGCGTTGGCCTGTTAAAATGGGTATTTTATCTAAAAAAAAATACCTTTACCAAGTTCTAACAAATCTGTATTACGCTATTTTTATAAGTTCTTGTACTCTATTTTTTTGTAACGTCTTCAACTTTTATATAAAATACTAGCGTGTACCAGCGACTTCGTCGAATTAATCATTTGTAATGGTGATGATAAAGCAAAGCAAGAATTTCCATTAACATACAAACTGGATAAAATTTTCTCACATTTATGTCAGCATGAGAAAAAACAATATGGCGATATTATTATATAACTTGGTAATATTTGAGGGGTAGTTTCCATCTCGTTGGAATTTGACTTTCGAAAAATCCGTTTTTTTACGTCAAGCAGTTTAAGCAGAATCGTGGTTAAGAAATTACCCAACTTTTTGGAACACCATGTATGATTTTTAAAAAAATTTCAAAATATGTAAAAAAACCAAATAAATTATGCTTGTCCAAGCGTTTTCCCGAAAAACTAACCGTCTTTTAAATAACAAATATTGTAATATTTGAGGGACGTTTTCACCCTCTTGGAATTTGAGATTCGGGAAACCCCTCCTTATCGAACCTCTACACCCCACAGTCAATCCGTTTACCAAAAATCAGCTTTAAACGTCAAGCAGTTTAAGCAGAATCGTGATTACTTAAACGTCAAGCAGTTTAAGCAGAATCGTGATTACTCAATGGTCATATTTTATGAAACACCCTGTATATATTTTTAAAAAATCTTAAAATATGTAAAAAAAACAAAATAAAATATACGTGTTTAAGCGTTTTTTTTTGGAAACTTGACCGTTTTTAAAATAAAAAATATTTTAATATTTGAGGGGTGGTTTCACTCTCTTGGAACTGGAATTTCGAAAAATCCCTTCTTATCGAACCTCTACACCCTAGAATCAACCTGTATGCCAAAATTGAGCTACTTACGTTGGTGGCTTGAGCAGGATCGTGATTAATCAGTATGTCAGTCACTTAAGGATTTTATATATTAGTATAGATTAATAGATTAGGATTTATTCAAAATTTTTATTAAACTCTTTGTTTGCGAATCTCCAAAATGTTAGTGCTTTTAAGCATTTCAAGGACTCAACTAACACCCCCACGCACTGGCAACACATGCAACGATACCGCGAGTAAACGTATGATACGACACGCAGCGTAAAAATGCGCATATGGGGCAAAAAGAAGGTGGTTCCATTATTCCGGATTTTGGAGCCGCGCAGCGTGTGGTATGTATCAATCAAAAAAGTCTTATGGGTAATCATCTTTTCAAAAAAGTCTTATGGGTATTTCGCCACTTGCACTGTTAGAAAATCTACAAAATAAAATAACTATTTATTGTAAACACAAAAAAATAGTTAGTAGTTCTTAGTATCTTGTATTCTAAGGAACTCGAATAATATTATTGAGAATGGATTTATTATAACATCACATGGGGAAAACATTTAACTATAAAAATTGTGTCAGGTATTTTCAGTACAAAATTAAGTTATTCTGACAGACTCAGATATAACTTCGATATGTCTTCAATATGTCCTCTAACAAAAACAAATTTGTATTGAATACTTATTAATATTTATGGTTATCTCCAATTCAGTGATTTGTGATTTTTCCTAACGAGGAAGCATTATGTTGGCAAACGGAGTGGCCGTTTTGAAACAGGTCGTAATTGCACCGATTCCGACACATGCCATTATTTATTACCGAACGTGTACGTATCAATAAATCACTATTGACAACCGTTGCAGCATGATAGGCAATTTATACAAGTTATTCAACAGAGATCTATTATGAGGAACAAATGGTTTTACCTAAAAGAACTAGAGCAACTTTGGGCAATATGAAAAATAATTTTTATTTTTTCATATAAATTCACAAATAAATTTTTTTCTAATCTCAAATTTTTATAAATAAATAACTAGTAGTACAGGACAGGGTGCCGCCTCTCATATGACACGGAGGCTCCAAGGAGAACGACATTTTGTATTGAAATTAATTTTTTGAACATATGTATATAGGTTTAGAGCATTTTTTTTAAATACAAAGGGTTTCCTAAAAAAAGTTACACATCAAAGTTGTGTTTTTCGCGGAACACCCTATATATTAATTAATTTTCGGATTCTAGGAGAAAAATAAAGATGAGTTTCATTAGAGAAAGGTTTTTGACACATTTAACGTTTTCTAAAAATGAAGAACAAATTTTAAATTTCAATAAAAGCTGCCTATATTGGAATTTACCCGGTATAGCCTAATATTTTGTTAAAATAACTATTGTACTTTAAATCAAATTGAACCAAAACACTTGACCCAAAAAGTTATACAGGGTCAGTCAAAACTAATATTGAATATTGGTCACCTTTAACAGCAAGTAACTTTTTTAATTTTAAGTAACAAACCAAACCAAACCAAACACCTAGTATATTCCGATATTCAATGGGAAATTAATGTCTCTTCAAAATACTATTCAGATTGCCTACCCCTCAAACAAAGATTTTCCTAGAAATTTTCATTTTTATGATTTAGTATCAGTAAATCTTTATTATTTGATAAAATCTACCCCATACATAGGTCCCCGTAGTTTGACAACGGGGCTAAGCGTGGTCCAATCGCGGGAAATCAGACTTCGGCGCACCAAGATTGGTCCAAAGCTGGGCAATCCAGGCTTGGTCAATCCTATGTTCACCCTATCTTGGGCCACGGCTGGGAAATCAAGTCTTAGCCATCTCTTAATTCACCCAACTTTGGTCCAACGCTGAGAATCTCAACTCCGGCCATGCTACGGCGACCCAGCTTTGAACCAGAATTGGTTAATTAAGTCTGGACCATTTTTTGGTGTTTTGGACTTGGCCCAATACTGGGAAATCGAGTCTTGTCCATCTCTTAATTTACCAAGCTTTGACCACACACTGGGAATCTCAGCTCTGGCCATGCTACGGCGACCCAGCCTTGAACCAGAGTTGGTCAACCAAGCCTGGACCATTTTTTGGTGATTTAGACTTGGCTAACATTGGGAAATCGAGTTTTGCCCATCTCTTAATTCACCCAACTTTGGTACAACACTGGGAATCTCAGCTCTGGCAATGCTACGGCTACCCAGCTTTAAACCAGAGTTGGTCAATTAAGCCTGGGCCATTTTTTGGTGATTTAGACTTGGCCTAATACTAGGAAATCGAGACTTGCCCATCTCTTAATTCACTCAACTTTGGTCCAACACTGGGGATCTCAGTTCTGGCCATGTTACGGCGACCCAGCTTTGGACCAGAGTTAGTCAATTAAGCCTGGGCCATTTTTTGGTGATTTAGACTTGATCCAATACTGGGAAATCGAGCCTTGGCCCTCTCTTAATTCACCCAACTTTGGGCCAGCACAGGGAAACTGAACACTATGTAGTTAAACTCATTCATTAAACAGAAATTTACTCACAATTAATAAAAAATTGGTATAACTCCGAAACCGGATAACGAATGGGTGGCCTCCTTGGCCTGACCACAAAATAGGAATCAGTTGATTCCTATTTTGTGGCTTTGACAAGCTTTAAACAGAAAATTCGCACATAATGCAGGTGTACGGCTGTTAAATGCTTTTCTCAAATCTAATCTAAATATATGAAAGTAATTATTTGTGTGTTAACTTTATTCCAAATGCTGGGTTCAAAAATAATTGTTTTTTTGCTGCTGGATCAAACTCGAATTAAACTCTCGGCGATCAAACATGGCTTGGTCTTGGCATTAAAGCCAGGCCCAGCCTTGACGATCAGTGATGGCCCAACGTCGGATTCAAAGCCTGGCCCGATGTTTTAATTCGACAACCACAATAGCATCACAGTAATAGCACTACATAACCACAGTCGGGCCAACACTAGTATACAAATATGGCCCAGTATTGGTGATCAAACTTGGCCTAGCCTTGGGGATCAAAATTGGCCTAGTGTTGGTGATTAAGTTTGGCTCAACTCTGGTAATCAAGCATGGCCCAGCATTGGTGATCTAGCTTGGCCCAATTTTGACAACCAAGCCCGGCACGATGTTATCATTCCAGGTTATTCCCAAAGCTGGGCCAAGACTGGTATGCATAGTTGGCCCAGATCTTTACAGTACTGAACGAGTCCTGTACCAATACTGGGCCGATGGTTTCATCCTGTATGGGACGTAGCTGTCATATCTCTGGCGTTACTTTAACACAGCTGTCAAATTAGTTTAACTTTAACAACTAGTTATCATTTTATGTCAGTTAAAACAAAAAAACAATCTAAGAAATTTACCGAAAATGGAAACATCCTGCATCAGAGAGAATTGATATGTTTCTATTAATTGGCGACTGCAGTGTGCATTCACCAATTAATAAAATGCTTAAATATTCCTGACTTATCTAATTAATCTGGACTTATTTTGGGGATATGTTAAAGACAGTATTTACAAAACTTGACCAACTAATGTCGACAATATGAGAGAAATGATTGTGGCTGCTTTTCGAAGTAAAACTCCACATATGCCACTTAACATGAAAAGAGAATCATTTTATGCACTTTATGCTTTTTCTGTTTAAAAGGAGGCATTTTGAGCATTTTATTTCATCTAGCTAATTTTTGTCACATTTAACAAGTGAAAAACGACCAAACCTAGCCTTTTTAAAATGAGTTTCCTTGTTTTATTTTAACTGTATTTTTTAACTAATTGACTCAATTGTATGGTTTATTTGTTGTATGAATGTTGAAAGTGTTTATTTTGATATTGTGATTTATATTTTTTTTAGACAATAAAAACTTTTTAAGATGCCCCAAAATTAAGGGCGAAACGTCAAGATGTTTTAAAGAAAACTAAATTTATTTATTTAACGAACCTCAACCCAACAAAAGATGAATTATTTATAATAAAAATAAAATGAATATATAGTATCTCTTAATTTTTTTTTCAAAGAAAAACTGATAGAGTACTTACGTTAGCTAACTGGTCGAACCTGCCAAACAGTTCGTTGAGGAGGCGCACTAGCTCTTGTGCTGTACATTGTGACGCAAGCACGGTGAAACCCACAATGTCCGCGAAGAGGATACTGTAAAAAAAGAAATCTGCATTATTGAGTTTATAGTCTCATTGTTATGAAATTATCTCTATTGAACCATGAACAATGAAAATAATAAACGATATCTGACAACGATATCTGACAAAAATATTTTCATTTTTCAAGATCCAGCATTATTCTGCGTTGCTGCAGAGGTAATATTCTGAAATGCAATTGAATCTGCAAGTAATGATGATTAACGATGGGGATGTTAAATTTAAAAGATAGAAACTTTAAGAACTTTTTTTGTACCCTCTCAAATCGTTCAACCCCCATGCACATTATATCCCGTTGACCACACGGGAGCAGCAAATTGCAATTTATTGTATATAAATGCGTAATATAAGGATATAAGTGCTTTAGAGCTTCTAAAGTCCTTACAACTGCGCCTAATGAATCCTAACATCTTAAACGCAGAGTTAATCATTTGATCAATATGAGGATTAAAAGACGACTTGCTGTCCATTACAACCCCCCAAGTCCCTCATCAACACGTTAATATTTTTATTATTTAGAGAATAATTAAATTTGAACATGTGCCTGTTTTTTGTAAACGATATTTTATAACATTTCTCTACATTTAACTTTAAATTATTATTATTACAGAATTCACAAAATCTTACTAAATCTTCTTGAAAAAGTTCACAATAATTAATAGATTCAATAGTTTTAAAGATTTCAATATCATCAGCATAAATTAAAATTCTACAATGCGAAAAAACAGATCTAACACAATTAATAAAAATGTTGAAAAGCAGTGGACCCAGGTGGCTCCCCTGTGGTACTCCTGAGGATAAAACAAAAATGCGTCAGATTTATGACTTAAAAAACGACTTAAAAGACGACTTAAGAATATAACCTAGAGATGATCAAAGGACTGTCCTAGATCTGAAAAGTTTAAAGTGGAATAGGTAAAAATCCACCTCACTAAATCTAATCTAATATAAGAGACCAGGATATAGTTATAAGGTATAAGGTTGCATGAGGTAATAAGTTACTCAAAGGTAAAATAAATAAAATTTCAGTAAACCATTTTTTATATGAACATACAACATAAATTTACATCTTAAATTCCTAATTACCATACTAAGTAATATGAACAATAATAATATTTGGTGTGCGTAAATTAATAATGTATGACATTAATTCATTTATAATTTACTCCACAATACAATTTAATTTATTTTCGGTTGTCTTCACCAATTTCATCTGGCTTTTCCCCCGAAATAAACAAGACAAGATTCAAGACTTGATTCATCTACTATCCCCTAAGTAGTAGGGGAACTTAGCGTTGCTACGTCATGTAAATTCTGGAAATTAAACGACAAACCTCACTCCAAAATTACTTTTGACTCGAGTCGCAATTAAGACAAAGTAATTTTCTAACCCAATTATTATGGTAACGTTGTAAAACATAATCGAATAAAAATCAGCTTGTTTGTTTTGTTCCTACAGGAAAATGATGTAGTAGGTTTATAAAGATAGATGTCTGGAAAAATAGTTATTAATTATGTGACACACTACGTATCTTATTTTTTCCTTGCTGACACAAAAAACAAATAAAATATTTTAAGTGTAACGCAACTGGATTTAGAATTTACTGGCAAAATTTTTCATTGGCTGTCTAATTGTACATAAATTAGGTGAAATAACCATAAGACATCTGAAATTTCAGATCGTATATTCCCCATTAGAAATGAATATACAGGGTGTCCCAGAAATAACTGCAAGTATTTTAACTGGTAGTATAGTTCAACCAGAAACACGAAAAGGTTTTTTTCACAAAAAAAATGAAAATTCGAAATTTTTGGAAATTTTTTTTTGAATTTTGTTTAGTTATTAGTTAAAAACATAATTTCTTGATAATATGGCAACATAGGTATTAGCGAGGGTATTAGATTAAATTTACAAGAATATCCAGAAAAGATCCTTGTTCTCAAAATTTTAGAAAAAATTTTTTTTTTTGAAATTTTCAAAGTAAAATAACTGCGTTATTTTAGAATTATTTGAAAAACGATGAAGAGAAAAAAGTGGGTCACCAATGAAATTCTGCTACTCATGGATGAACGTAGAAAAGCCAAAAATAACAAAGACAAGTACAGAGATCTACAGACACATACAAAGTCGAAAATCAGGATTGCAAAAAACGAATGGCTCAAAAAAGAGTGCATGGAAATAGAACAACTACAACACAAACATGATGATTTTAATCTCCATAAAAACCTTAAAGAAACCGCTGGGGTGTAAAAAATGGAGCCTAGGTATAACAATCAACGAGAATAATCAGATAGTTCTAAATGATAACGAAAAACGCCAAATATGGGAGGAGTATATGTAGAAAAACTCTTTAATGATAATAGACCGGACAATTAACTCACAGTCGAAAATAATCTGGAAATAATAAACTGGACCTTCTATTATGAAAGAAGAGATTGAAAAGGCTATACAACTTGCGAAGTATAATAAAGCAGCTAGGTCGGATGAGATCCCATCAGAAATACTCAAACTTCTGGACGAGAGAGGCATTGCAGTTCTATCCAAGTTGTTTAATCGAATATATGATACTGGTCACTATCCGGAACAATGGTTATCTTCAACTTTTATCCCTATACCAAAGAAGATCAGCGCACGAAAATGTGAAGAACACAGACTTATCAGTCTTATGAGTCATTCTCTAAAAATAATCCTGAGAATAATACATCGGAGATTGTACGGAAGGTGTGAGGATGCCATGAGTGACTCACAGTTTGGATCTAGACAGGGGTTAGGCACCAGGGAAGCACTGGCCGCGACGCAGATATTAGTACAGAACTGCTACGACCAGCGAAAGAACGCATGTCTATGTTTTATAGATTACAAAACAGCTTTCGATTGGGTTTAACATCATAAACTTATGCAGCTTCTCAGGAGATTGAGATTAGAAGTTGATTTAGACCAGAAAGACATCCGATGTATCGAAAACTTATACTGGTACCAATCAACACGGGTAAAATTAGCGAACGGCCTCACCAACCAAATTTGTATTCGCAGAGGAGTAAGGCAGGGGTGTATACTATCGCCGCTCTTGTTCAATATATACTCAGAGGTCATCTTTCAGGAGTCGCTAGAGGACAAGGAGATTGGAATTAGAGTCAACAGAGTCTGGATAAATAACATACGATATACCGATGACACAGTTTTGGTTGCGGATAACATGGATGATTTACAACAGTTGGTTAGTATGGTAGGAGAATGTAGTCAAAGAATGGGGCTTGTCATTAACACAAAGAAAACAAAATTCATGGTTGTCACGAGAGAGGTGGATGAGTTTAGAGACGTCAGCTTAACATACGAAGGAAAATGCATAGAACGAATCGAAAAATTCAAGTACCTGGGAGCTTGGCTTCCACTCTACGGCGTGGAGAGTTGGACACTAAAAGCAAGTGCCATAAACAGACTGCCAAGATAAGAAACGAGGATGTACTAAGACGTATTAATAGAGAACGTGAACTCTTCAACACTATAAAAAAAAAGAAAGACCGCATACCTGGGTCACCTCATACGTAACCATAAATACACACTTCTCCAGTTGATTATCGAGGGCAAGATCGAGGGCAGAAGAGGTTTGGGACGGAAAAAAATGTCGTGGCTGCGGAACATAAGACAGTGGACAGGCATTAGTAACATACAGACGCTGATCCACACAGCCAGAGATAGGGAAGCCATGGAAAGTGTGGTCGCAAACATCCATTAATGGATAAGCAGAGAAAGAAGAAGAGAAAATATGTTTCTTTTATCGAGATCTACCACCGACCACCCCTTAAAATACTTGCACTTATTTCTGGGACGCCCTGTATAGTATATTCTCATCTCTAACTAAATACAGGGTGCGGCAATAGTGCGTCGGGCATCTGTAACTCCTAGAAGAAAAAATTTGAGAATTTTGTTTAAATACAAACCTAAAGTACGTACGAGTATGTATTTCAGGAAAATATTTTAACTTCTATAGGGTGGCTCAGAAAAGTATGAGTGGATCTCAGATTATCTCCTTATTTTTTAAGAGTCTATTACGCTGTACTTTTGGGTCGCTATCAGGGGTCGGGTAAAGCGGATGTATGGCCGAAAGAAATATACAGGGTGTCCCAGAAATAAGTGCAAATATTTTAACTGGTAGTATAGTTCAACCCCAGAAACACGTCTATGAGGTTTTTTTTGCGAAAAAAAAATGTTGAAAATTTAAAATTTTTCTTGATATTTTCCGGGAAATTTGAAAAAACTTTTTAGTGCCACTTGTTTATTCACCTGAGATTTCCCTACGGTGTATCTAAACCTTGCAGTGTCGCAACCTCCTATGTTATCCACATTCTACATAGTTCGGCGGAACATAGTTCTACATTTATAAATTCATAGACAAATTTCTACTCAAAAAATTAGGAATGTTAAATTTAATCTTTTATCAGTGCTCATTATTAATAATTATAGAAAAAAAAACACATTAATTATTTTTAGTACTTACCCTTTCAATGAAAACTTAACAAAAACCACCGAAAATTAACTAAAACATTACGTTTATGACGTTTACGAAAATCTTTGTTATGCTGCAAAATAACTTTATTTTGGAATAAATTTAATAAAATGATTCATATTATTCACAATCAGGTCACAAAAAAGAAATTCCTAAAATGTTTATCGTAATTTAGAATTCAATTCAAGCAATTTAGAAAACAGCCCAACGAATAATCGATTCATTTTTGTTTTCTTTCATGTTTCTCTGTTTTATTTGAACCACTGTTTTACAAAACACCTTGAAAAGCGCACATTACTTTGAATACCTTGCTGAATGAATAAATGTTGAGAATTATTGTCTCTTATCGCCCACTTTACGAACTACTTTCAATCTAAGAAAATACATGTTTCACTCAACAATTATTGACAACGTATTTTGTTTTTTCGCTATTTTTTCGATGTATTTCGACAATTCCATCGACAGCCTAACCGTCAACCAAGAACTG